GTTGAGCCAGCGTTGGAATTATTTCTCGTGTAGTGGTAGTGTAGATATCAAACCTTCACCTGATTGCCTAGGAAAAGACGTGCCCGTACCTCTTCCAAATCACATGACTCTAGACTTATAAGACCTTACTCATAAAAATACGTTAATTTAAGTATAATGTTTAAATTTGATTTCTTTCTCTTCATTAAATGATAATAGAAAAAGACAAATATAGAGTTAATTAATACTTAAGTTAAGCAAGCTATAACCTTCGATTATAAGGTAACATTAAACAGTACCTGTTGCCAGTGATAACATATGGATCTGAGAAGTGATCTAATGTAAGATCGCTTAGAGGTATGGAGAGGGCTATTCTCGAAGTTTCCCTGCGTGACAGACTTAGAAATGAGGATATCCGCAATAGAACCGAAGTAACCGGCATAGCCCAACGGATTAGTAAGCAGAAGTGGCAATGGGCCGCCCATATAGTTCGAAGAACTGATATAAAAGGGCGAAAAAGATTCTCGAGAGGCAGCCTCGTACCGCTTAGCCAAGTGTAGAGCGGCCCCCCATTAGATGGATCGACGACCTGTGCGAGATTGCTTGAGGAAGTCTTATTTTCAAAGGAGACCCGTGATGGATTGTAGTGACGATGAAATCAATTTCCCCATTCGAAACTTTAACGTCATCAATATAAATGAGGAAATGATACTATAGTAATATAAATTGGTCTTTAATGTATGTTTATTTTAACGATAACTTGGTCTAGGTTACAATTCTGATAACAGTGTTATCTGAATATTTATTTTTTACTAGTTTTTACCCGCGGCAATCTTCGCTTAGAAATTAAACGATAAAACCTTCAGATTTATTTGAGTGGTTTTTTTAGCAAAACTTTCGAGAAATCATTAATAAATAACATATCTATTAATTCTACGTAAAAATATTCTATCAGTGTAACCTTAAACATTCATAGTTATGTTACAAATGACGTTGAAGTAAAAAAATTGATTAAAATCGCTACTGAAACTTTACGAACTCATTATAGTCCAGTTCACAAGTACACTAGTGAACATAGGCCTTCCACAAGGAATGCTACAAAGCACATCTATCCTCGATTACGAATCAAGATGCAAATGCATTGTCATCCGTGAAGACTGAGATGGAATGCCTCGTTTACAGTAAAAAGGGTCTCCGGTTTTCTACACTCACCATAGGCAACCCAGCAACATTAAGCTACTATATTTATTACGCTTTATTACGCTGGTGGTCTGTGAGAGCATGCTCCTTTCCCGGTCGAGTCGACTCATTCGTGTTACAACTATACTACTAATATAATTGCAGCATGGCTCCCGAAAAGGGTAAGGTCTTGATTTGAGTAAAATTGTAAACCATAAAAGTTTTGTTCGAAACTATTTTCATATTTCTTAAAATGTTTGAGATAATCATTAAAACCCATTCATTTTATGTTTTACGATTACACAAAATAAATCTTGCATAGTTTTCGGATAAAATATAGCCTAGATGGCGTTGCTCTCTATCCGTTCGTGAAATTTCATCACAACCGGTTTAGTTACACTGCGGATTAGCCCGAACAAACATACAGACAGACAAAATGTTTCAAAAGTTATTCATGTTTCAAAAGCACACAAAAAACCCCGTGAGCTTAATAGCAGCTAGTTTAGATTTTACATACAGACACATAAATGTTATTTATATGTATAGATTTATACATACTATCCTATAATGACGACAGTCTACTACAAATCAATAATGAGTACCTACCTAGCTATTGGCAATAAATTTATTTTTATTGAAACAGTATTTCTGAACAAAAATGTTTCGTGTTTGCATTGTTACAATAGCTTATGAGTTTATTTCGTGTAATACTAAAGTACAGATCTTTGTAAACACGGCCTCAAACAAGGAAGATGTTTTTGTACACTACTATGGTATAGATAGAAAAATAATAACCGATATGGGGGTGAAGTTGTTTAATATTACAGACGATAATTTAAGGAGAGATTTGAAAATACAACTTGGTAAGGTACCCGATAATATATTTATGAAAGATCCCACGCCCTATAGTAATTTATACCTAAAAAAACAAATGGAAGGAAATCGAAAGAAGCTTACAAGTAAAAAATGCAGAAGTAGTTGATGTAATAAATGTAAATACTATCATAAAAAACACATGAACATATAAACAACACAACAAACACAATTCAATCAAAAGTTTCGGTATTTGAAACAATAGAAAACACAATATCTTCATTTTGGTCCGAAGAATGTTTGCCCGAAGATGAAATTTTCTTTGATATCGATTATAACTTTAACGGACGAGCAGTATCGTACCATAATCGATGGAGAAAGGATTATTTACAAAACGCATCTCAATCATTTGGCGTAAAAGTAAAAGATGGTTTTATAAATATTCAGTCAGGGCAACGAGTAACGACGAGATTAAAGGGAACCAAAACAATCCTGCTTATCAAAATCAATTACGTTGCGGGTTTAGTTGGTAACTTATCATTTTTGGGGCCAAATGTCAATGATATAATGAAAGCAGCCGGCATCATTAATGAAATAATTATAACTGAACTGATAGAAGTGCAATGCTACATTCATCCATCCAATCCAGTTCTAGAGATATTCGATAGTTTAACAGAAAAACCAATGCGTATAATCACACCACCAACGCCATTCCATGTAAGACCTAAATCAAGATATTCTAATAAAGTAAAAAAGGCTCACCCAAAATAATCAAGTGAAAACTGTTGTCATAAGTTAACAAAAAAAGTTTTGTTAATACAGTGAAACGCCCATAATTTTTCCTTTAGACATGTGTCAATCATTCATTTCTATTGACCGAATCATTCTAGTACATTTTGTTATGCGTATCCATTTGAATGATCGATCGTATATTCCGATCAATCATTCAAATGGATCATTTCAGGCTCCAGTACTCTGTGGGTCTGTGAGATCCTTTGGGAACCGGAAATTTTCTATTTGAGATCTATAATAGCGCCATCTACTACATGCTATAGGTAGTAAAGTCATTTTATCGAACTAAAACTTATTGACCTTCAAGGTGGTAAGTATAATCGACGCTAGATGGCATAAACACAAAAACTTTGATTGGTAACTTTATTCAATATATATTATTTTAAATATTTAATAAATTTGTTTATTTTTAAATTTCATTACTAACAATACACAATTTCATCTTACTTTACATTTACACGTCTAAAAATAGGGATTGTAACATTTATTTGCAAGAAAATTAAACTTTTACCTATTTTATACTTATATAAGGTGGTTGGAAATTATCATATTAAATAAATCTTTTGCCATGAAATCTTTTGATGTTTTATATTTAGTAATCTCTATGAAATGATATTTTTAACTCACAGACTTAACAAAAAAATATAATAAAACGTAAAATAATTTTTAATTTAGGTAACAATATTATAATAAAAAATCCTTAAATAATAAATACTCCTGATACTCTGCAGTCTGCATTGCTTATTCGATTGGCCTGTTTATTCAGATCATTCGGGATTCGGTCGGTTTTGGCTCATTCACAATTCATACAAATAGCGGGTTAAAAAGTTGTTTGTGATTGGTTGTACCAATACATTCAAAAACAAATGAATGAACCATCAATACTTTTAAGTGTACCAGCTCAAACGAACGAATCATGCGTGATTGACACAACATGTCTATTTTTGTTTGGAGAATGGGCCCAGCACAAATTTTAAGGATTTTTAATGAAATGCATGTTGATTTGGTCCTTATAATCTATAGATTACAATAGTGTTATTAGTTTTACTGAATCTAAACGGAGTCCTGAGAAATTAACAATTAAATTATGAATCTAACAACATCCTAAAAACAAACAAAGCGATTTTCTAGTAGTTTTCACTGGTATTATAAGTTAAAATAGAACACTGTTGAATAATTATAGTACATATAAAACTAAGTTGTAGGTATATTCAGCATTTATAGGTACTTTAAGATCGATCGGAATTCTTTTCACTAATTCCGGAAAAATATAGTGCCTGTATGTGCATAAATGTCGCATGGATTCTACTTTTGACATGTTTTGATTGATTGATTGTGAGTGTAAATTCCAAATACCATTAAAGTATTATGATTAAAGCCAAGATGACTAAGAGATAGTATGTCCATTTATATTATTTATAATATTACCAACACACAGTAAGAAATACTTTTTAAAGTTGGTTGTATTACAAAAAACAAAATATAATGGAACTCTATTTATTACTGTAACTCATAATTTCTAAAGTATTCTATTAATAATGGTACAGAAAGAGAAACTTTTTATTCAATATAGATTATAAATAAAACTTATTGAAAACCACTTTTTTTTTAATTTACCACTGGTACGGAAAAACCACAGTATTGGAGAGAACCAGCAAGAAACTCAGGGGATTTTTTTTAAATAATACCTTACAATCATATATGTTACAATTAATAACACATAACAAATTAGAAATAGCTTGGTAGCGATTACCTTACCCAGGGGTCTTATCATCCATAAATTCCTTATATTATATATACAAACTTAGTTTAATAAAGTTTTTGAACTTTGATAATTGATTGAGATGGACAGACAGGAGCAGTGTCAAGACTTTGTTTTAATATGTTTTGGTTGATTACTAAGTATCTCTAAACATCTCACATATCATAATAAAATAACTCTGTTAAAACATGCTTATCTACGTAACCTTCTCAGAAATGAGAGGAGGCCTGTGCCCAGCTGTGGGACGTATACAGGCTGTAACTTTAAAGAATATTTGAAAATGTTGTGATTATAATAATATATTCTTTTATTATAGAACCAATTACGAGTAAAACACATTTCTAATTTATTTACGTTTTATTACATTATTTCATATTGCCGGTTTTAAATCATATAAATATTAAATTTTACAATAGTGTGTCGTCTTTTCTATAGGATTATGGAGTTGTGTCAATAAGACCCGTCACCTGCGCGGCTAGATGCAGTGTCTGCTGGTATTACCCGACATCCTTGGCTTGCATCCATCTTCACCAGCCTCGTACTCTACCACCTGGAAAGAACAGAATAAATGAAATGAAATGTGTTAATTTTGCCACGTTTTCATCATGTCACTTTCTAGTTTTTCTGCCGTTCCGGGTGGAATATTGCAATTCAAATTTCGAACACTTCCCGGTGGGCTAGAGACTTGAAATTTTGATCCATAGCTCAGAATCAGAAATTGTAGGTAAAAAACGTGGTATATTAATTTCTTAGGACAAACTTTAAAAAAATATACTTGTTTGTACACTTTCGTTTGTTGACAAATTATAGCAACTAGCTACTGTAGTCCAAGAATTAAAAGTACGAGATCTAAAACATTTATAACGTGGTAGAGCCATGCTGCAATTATATTAGTAGTATAGTTGTAGCACGAATGGGTCGGCTCGACCGGGGAAGGACCACGCTCTCACAGAATACCAGCGTGAAATAGTAGCTTACTGCTGCTGTATTTCGTATGGTGTGTGTAGAGAACCGGAGACCCTTTTTACTGGAAATGAGGCATTCCATCTCAGTCCTCACGGAGGACAACGCATCTGCATTTTGATTTGTAATGGAAGATAGATGTAGATGTCTATGGGCCGCAGCAACCACTTACCATCAGGGGTGTGCTCGTTTGTCACCCTATCCTATAAAAAAAACAGAAACAGAAACTTTTTTATTCAATATAGATTATAAATAATACTTATTGAAAGTCACTTTTTTAATTTACCACTGATTCGGAAAAAAACCTCTATCCTGGAAAGAACCAGCAAGAAACCCAACGGGATTTTTTTAAACAACAGCTTACAATCATGTAAATAGACTAGAAAAATACACTAGAAAAGACAATAAACTAGATTCAGCTTGGTAGCGATCACCGTACCCAGGGGTTATTATCATCCACATCTGAAGTGTGTAAGAGATGTAGAGAAATGTAGAAGAAACCCAGTAGTGGAGCGAGGGGCTTGTTGTAACAGGGGCAAGTAGTAACAGGCTCTTTTCACTAGGATCTTAAACGCTATAAACGTATTTTTTTGACTAGATTTGACCTATAAACCGCGCCGCATCATGTTACCATAGCCAGTGTCCCACCGACATGCGTAGTGAGCCGGAGTGTGCACGCGCTTCATTTCTGCCAGGTAATATAAAATTGTACTGTCGTAAAATTTCGGTTTGCGTTTTTGATATCGACTAATTTATTAATAAATTTTCTATATCTTATTTCCATTCAAATTTATCTATCTCTAATAATGTGTAACAGTTTTTATGATTGCTAAATTGTTTAAATAGTTATCCTGATAAATGTTAAAAATCATACCATAGGGTTAGTTGTAACAAAATCCCGGGGCTTGTTGTAACGTGTTACAACATGCCCCAAGTTATGATGTAGATACCTACTTTTTCCTTTGTTTTAGAATGAGGGTGTATTGAAGAAAGTCAGAGCGGTCAACACAAAGCCAAGAAGTGTATGAGTTAGCGGCAGCTGAAGTTTTAGAAAAAAAATGCAGTATTCGGAAAGCTAGTCAGACTTTCAGATTATGTCACGTCTCTCTTTATAGATATATAGAGAAAAAGAAGAATAATGAAAGTCTACAAAAAACTTTTTTGGCCATCGAAGGTTAGACCCTTACCAAAGGCGCCACCAAGAAAAACTAATACAAATAGCAGACGCAAAAGAAAATCTACAGTATTGAGGGACACTCCTGAAAAGGAAGCTTTACAAAAGGAATGTGAAGAAAAGATGAAGAAAAAACAGAAAAAAGATGATAAAATTAAAGGAAAAGGGAAAGGAAAGGGGAAGGGGAAGGGAAAAGCCAAAGGTAAATCAACAAATAATAAAATCGGAGTGGGCAGAGCTAAAAAGAAGATTTTATGTTCAGATTCAGAATCTGAATCAGAAGAGTGGTATTGTCTGGTATGTGGTGAAGCTTACACAGATACAAATAAAGAAGATTGGATAGAGTGTATCATTTGTAAGATGTAGGCACATGTAGGATGTGTTACAGGAGACATATCTTTTATTTGTATTAATTGTAGCTCAGATGAAGACTGAATTTAATTATAATGAAACCCACAAAATGTTGATTCTTACATAAGTATAATACTTTGTTAGATAGCTATTAAGAAGAGATAATTACGAAGCATACCTTAGATATAAATAATTTAATTACTTACTGTGATTTAAAAGTGCCATGATGGTTATAAGAGGTGTTTAACTAAATAAAACTGTTAATTACTTTATTTTTAAGTGTTGAGTACTAAAAAAAGTGTATTTGAGTTGATTTTTGATAAGAATTACATATTACTTACCTAAGAAAGATGTCAATGTTGTTAAAAATAAACAAAGAATAAATGATTAGAGGTATTATTGTCGTTTTTTTTGTCGTTACTACTTGCCCCGGTAGACGTTACAACTTGCCCCAAGCACGAGGTAAGTTGTAACACCGCACTTCTTCTAGAAAATAATTGATTGTAAAATAATGACCAATAGTTATGGTATTATTTTTTACTTGATTTGGTAGAGGAAGAGTTACAGTATCCATCCATCTTTATTTAGTAGATTTTTAATCAATAGATCTGAAGATATATTAGTTTTAATGAAAACTGTTACAACAAGCCCCTCACTCCCCTATATTAACAGGCCATGAGGTATTCCATCTTAGTCCTCATTGAGGCCAATTCTTTATTTATGTTGGTTGCAGGTGAACAACTGATTCCTGCAACGTTCCATCAGGTGGACTGTAAGTTTGTTTTTCAATTCAATTTTTTATAGAAGAATGGTGACAAACGAGCACACGTTGCACCTGATGGCAAGTGGATGCTGTAGCCCATAGACTTTTCTTCAAGTAATCATACATAGAATATGCTCTACTCAGTACATATTCCTATTTTTATTCTGTTCATATTTCCATTTCTTACCTTTTTTAACTGAATCATTATAGTCGTGACTTGAAGAAAACTTTGTACGTTTTTTGGGATGCCCATATTTAGGCAACACTATCACAGCTGGTGAGTACGAATCTCAATAATAATGTTGCGTCATACAACACTCCCAACGTCTAGTTATTTTCCCCATCGCACGTGCTTCACGATCCATCTTTTGTCATTGCGTAACATACACCATTATAAAACCATGAGATTTATGCATACGATTTATGCTATTTAGGTATATCCAATTACAGGCGTAAATAAAGTTTTATCCAGAACAGACTTTTCTTTAAGGTTTATGTTAGTTTGGTTTATGCATTAAAAAGCAACTTACTTATATATAAATATGTATGATCTTTAAAAAAAAAAGAATATGTCAAAAATACGCGCTTGTCAACGGGCTATGGAGAGGAGCATCCTCGGTATAAAAATTTTAGATAAAGAAAATACCTAGTGAAAAAATAAGACAAAAGACCCAAGTGATAGACGCACTGAAACATGCACTACGTTTAAAATGGAAATGGGCAGGACACATCGCCCGCTCCTCTGCAGACAGATGGGTCAAGCGAGCAACCATTTGGAGGTCCTGGAGCAAAAAGAAAAAAGGGCAGATCAACAGCTCGCTGGGTCGACGACATACCAGAAGTAGCAGGAAGAAACTGGGTGAAAACAGCTACCGACAGGAAAAAATGGAGGCAACTGGAGGAGGCCTATACCCGAAAGGGGCCATGACATATTTAGCTTATATTATTTATACTTAATGTACTTTTTTCTAACGGAAACCGATGTTTTGGATCAATAAAGGCTTTATTATTATTATTATTAGTATAAATATGTAGATCATGAATCATAATGCAGATGCATTGTCACTCCTAAGGACTAAGATGGAATGCCTTGTTCCCAGTAAAGAAAGAATTAACATCCACAACTTCTTACAATGCTGACTGTCTTACTATAAAGTTAAAGTTACAGCCTACATACGTCCTACGTAGTGGGACGTATATAGGCTGTAAGAGAAATGAGAGAACTCTACACGTCTTCGAAATATTTTTTTTGTTTCTCAGACATGCAGGTTTCCTCACGATGTTTTCCTTCACCGTGGATCACGTGGTAAATCAACGCTTAAAATTGCTCGCGTACTGTGAAAACTTATATTGTATTTCAGTGTGTCTTACTACACTAAAATACAATAGTATTCGCAATTGTGTTTGCAGAAATAGATAGGTGGAATTTACTCGGGTTCCAAAGCAGTAGAGCTGATGAAGATGATTTCAACGTACCTGTTTGGTTCCATCAGGAAGTACGACAAAGTACGTCCCTTCTGGTTTATCGTCCTGACGCTTTTCCGCGTGGCCAAAGTTACTTCCGCTCTCGTAGTCGCTTACTTTGTAGTAGAACTCGTAGTTCGCTGGTTCCTGTGGATTTTGATTAGTAAGTTTGAGTAATAGAACGTGTAGTAGCGTGTAAGAATATCCAGTACCCCATATCGTCCCGTGGGTGTCGCAAGAGGTGAGGCAGAGAAATACAAAGGCAACAGCGTCTTCCTAATAACGACTAGAAAATAAAATAAACTGCGGTTACCAACCTGCCCACCAAGCGTGGCAACTGTGGCAATGAATAATTAATGGCATTGATACATTTAGTAGTATTTATCAATTCCCTTAAGTTGCCTGTTTGTGTAAAATGCAGCGCTAGTCGTTATTTGTGACGTTTTTAGGAGCTACCTACTTCTTATTAAAATGATATAACAACTAATAAAAAAACCTATTACATTTATCGAGAAGTCACTTGTGCTCTCCTCTCACCTAACGGTGTTAAGTAAAGTTGCTTACTACGTAAGTAACATCATGTATTTTATTAACTGCATAAAATACCATAAATCTAAACAAGGTTATAGATATTCATAATAATAACAATGTACATTTTAGACACACAAATAACAAGCTATAACAATAATTATTGTTACTCACAATTTATCTTCCGTGTACGTATTCTCTACTCAACGGTTTTAGTAAGACTGCCGCTTGTAGCTGCCGCTTGTCGCTGCCGCTCAAACCGACGACATCTGTCTTTTATAGGCTTGTAATTTAACGGTGCTAAGCTACAGATGGCGTTGCTTGTGTCGTTTCCGTAACAAGTTTTTATAAAATTGGATATTATGCCGTAAGTTTTTTTCATTATAAAACATTATTTATATTTCTTATAATTATCTTAAACAGTTTTACATTCTAATTATAAATATAAGCAAAAATAAATAACTAGACATAATCTAATACATTAATGTACCCGCAGACTTTATAGGATGAAAATAATTAATTACCCACCATGTCAGTTACAACAATATAAATTATTAAAATACGCTAACAATAGAAATCCAGTAATTTACTGAGCTAAAATTGTCTTCATGTTTTAACTACCGCACTTAAAAAATAATAAAAATACACATATATCGAGAAAAATCACTCGTTTTCATATTTCTATTATTTTTAAAAGTATTTTTTTTAGTGTAAAAACAAACTGATTGAAAAAAAAATTATCGAGGGTGCCCGGAAGTCTGTATTAATCGTATTCGTTAGAATTAATGTATCAAAATAATTCTTTTTTTTATTAGGTTTAGAATCTCAACGCACAGGTTCCTTTATAAAAATCACTGAGTAATTTGTTCTCGTTTAATTGTAATTAATGAAAATGTAAAAAACAACTGGTACTTTTCTACAAAAAAATATTCTCATGGATCTCTTCGTTCGTCTCAAATATAGAAAAAGAGATATTTTTCTTTTATATAATCAAATGAGATTATAAGGCGTGCACTTTTGGATTTTCCAAACTTTTTTTATTATACAATTGCCACTAATGGATAGGCAATTTATTAATGAACATTTTGATCTGTTTAATTTTTTCAAAAGATAAATATTCGATTATATAAAGAAAATATTTTAAAATTTGGGCGAATTTCTTACGCGATATATTATTGTAGAGAGAGCGCGTGTAGAGAGAGAGAATGTTTAGAACCGAATGCTGCAGGTCGTTCGCTAGGAGTAGTGCCTTAATTGGCCTCCCCTTTAGATTGTCTTGTAGGCTTTTGCTATTGTTGCCACGATGGCAAGGCGGGATGGCGAAAGAACAATGCTACTGCCTATATCCTGTTTCAGTTTCCCTCTATACCCATTCTTACAAAATAATAGTACTTGCATAAATAAATAGTTTCGGGGGCTTGGGGGGGGGGGTGGGTTTTGAACGATTTTAAATATTTTATTTTATAAAATAAATAATATTTGTGTAAGGAAGTAAAGAGCCGCAGCTTCATATCCAAAGAGCCGCATGTGGCTCTCGAGCTGCAGGTTGCCGACCCTTGCACTAACCTAATGAATTCTCATATAATTATATTAATTAAATTATGCGAGCAAATTGTACACAAAAAATAAACATGATATAAAGCATATTCTACTACACGTGATATTCAATCGATTGTAGATGCTGAAAAACAGCTCCTAAAAAACTTCTAATTCTATATAATTATATTAATACAAGTACTAGCTGAGCCGCCCGCGACTTCATTCGCGTAGACAAATGCCGATTTTAAAATTCTTTTACCCATAAAAAGGTACTCTATCTCTGGGCGAGTCCAAAGATTTGGAAAATGTTCGTCAAACGTATTGGGAATACTTTTATTGAATGCACAGCTAAAAAGTGGAATTTCCTGACGTAGTACGTGTTTTCTGAGTGGGTTACTTGCCTATGCTACTCGCTGATAATGTATTTTTCTATAGTTGAAAGAATTTTTGAAATCGGTTCAGTAGTTTTAGAATTAATTCATTACAAATAAACAAAAACCAAATCTTTTCTTTATATATTATTATTATAATTAGGATAGGATATATCTCATGGCTTGAATTTTTGAGACAAAGCACTGGTTGTGGTGTCAAGGGTAAATAAGTACGAGTACGTGACGGAGGAAGCCGAATCCAAATTCCTCAAACTTAGCATAGTCACCACCTAGTAACTGTTGTTTTTACACAAATTGCATAGTGAACATTTTTAGCGAACTTTTTTACGAACAATAGAGTTGCATAGAACTCTAGAATGCTTAAAACCTAAACTTTTAAAAGTTATACTATACTTGGAAATGAAATTCCGCACGCAAACATTAAAATTGTAACGGAAGTACGACAGTACTTACAATTTATTATAGCATGGTTATATTAAATAGTTCTGTTATTAACATAGAATACTATAATACACAATAGATTGGCTGTCAACCTTATTTTGTACGAGGATCGGCGTCGCCGGGATCACACATACGAGTACAAGCAATTACGTCGTATTATCGCTACTACAAACCCGATCGCTGTGTTGACAGACTGAGATTTTAGACTTTTGATTAATGTTCAAGATCATAATAAAAAAATCGTTTAAATTTGAATACATATTTATTTGTAAATAGTGTGCAATTAGGCATTTTTAAATAATTTGCATGCAGCGACGCTTGACACGAAAATTGGAAACGATTGTAATGTCAAAAGAGATGTGTTGACATTTATAGGTGTGAATTGACATGTTAGTGGCGACATGGGCTCCGCCCACTCCTCCGTTCTATTATGTTTGTATTATAGTATTTTATGGTTATTAATGTTGACTACTAATATTTTTATTATCTTATATTTAAAGTTATGACAATTTATAAGAATATTATTTGATTTTATTTGATCTACGGCAAAGATTTGCCTGATTAAAACTTAGTGTGTTAAGTAGAGTGGGACAGTATTTCATGCTAGCCCCGCTTGGCATGTTATATCAGCTTGAGAATATCAACTACCCCGTATCGTCCTGGTGGGTATCGTTAGTAGCAACAGTCAAAAACAAACCAGGAGATAGGCATCAACAACAAGAAAATAAGAAAACTGAGGTTGCCCACCCGCCTACCAGACCTGGCATTTATAGCAAATATTCCCCTTAAATCTGTGAGGAGGCCTATGTTATATATAATAAAAGTTTATCAGTTTCTAGAGTATTGTATTGTATTTATGTAAGTAAGTATTGTATTTATACAAAATTAGAGAAAGTACCCAAATAGTATAATAACAGTCAAAAGACAAAATATTTTTATTTTAAATTGGCCTCTACAAAGCACTTTTTGAAAGTCAAGAAAGCAACGCCATTGCTATTACAAGTCCCTACCGCTATCCCTAAACATGTGAGACGTCTGATGGTGCAATCGTCGATCACTTGCCAAGCGTGAAAAGGCCCTTGACCTGCAGTGAACTCTTCCAAACCAATAGAGAAAGAAAGAATACTTACCACGCAGGTTAATATGGAACCTTCAAGAAAAGAGATTACTCATTTCTAAAAGGCCGGCAACGCACCTGTAATTTCCTTGGTGTTGCAGTTGTTCATGGGTGGCGGAAGTAACTTACTATTAGGTGAGTCGCATGCTCGTTTGCCTCATCTCGTACAAAAAAACTATGGCAAACATCGCACACATATGACACAATCTGTGAGGGAGTCATGGACTTATAGACTGTAATTAATGAATAAATTATAAAATAAATAATAAATAAATAAAGCCTTTAAAGTTGCGCTTATACTAACACCGTTACGTCCTTGACGAAGACGCATTATATGTATTATGTACACACATAACCTCAAACGACACGTGTAAATGTTGAATGAACTATGGGATCATTTCACGATACTTGTTCAAGTTGATTAATAGATTGTTAAATGAAATTATTAATGGCCATAGCCTCGTGTTTTGGCATCGTTCAATTTTGAAGGTCTGTTTCTGTCTGAATTGTTTACCGGTATAAGTTGAACAGTTTTTTTACACGCTATACCCACTTGTTATTTTTTGGTGAAGGCCATTAGAGGCAGTTTTTAAGCTACTGGACGGAAAAGGATACGGGATCAGCATCATTGACGAATTCACCACTCACCTTCAATTTATCGTCGTTACAGTCATTTATGGCAGAATCGCTAATATCTTAGCACTATATTCAATGGACAAACGTTATGTGTAAAGTCCATGTCACACCTATGGTAGTTATTTTTGGGACCACTACGCACGAATTTGTTGACGAGTAGGTATAGCTACGACTCTTCTACTCAACATCGACTGAGATATCAATCATATCATCCAATTCTGAGACACGTATTCCTTAAATCTTAATACAAGCGTCTACAACCTGTGTGTCGTGTCACATGGATCTAAGACGTGGATATTCACTATTGGACGCATGAAGAAGCTCAAGGTTGCTCAGCGAAATATGGAGAGGACTATGTTCGGCGTTTCTCTGCGTGATGGTCTTAAAAATGAGGATATTCGCAATAGAACCGGAGTAATCGACATATTATCTAAACATATTGAAGGGGCAATGAGCCGGCCATATAGCTGGAAAACTGACAACTGATGAGGAAGAAAAGTTCTTGATAGGAAGCCTCGTACAGGTGCAGGGCGTCCCTTCTTTAGACAAAGTATGATAATATCACCCAGACCGAATTTCGGTAACGGCTGCCAGTCTCAAACAGAAATTAGCTATCTTGGCAGGATATAATAGAATAGAATAATTCTTATTCAATATAAATTATTACATAATACTTATTGAAAATATTTTTTTATTATGGTTCGGAAAATAACTCTGGGAAGATCGGGCAAAGAAACTCAGCGATATTATATTTTTTTAAACATATTTAAATTTACATTAACTTTGAACAGTTTCTTATACGAATTTAATACTCTCAGTATGATGGCGATCACCTCATTCCAAAGGGTTATTTTCATTCATAGAATTATAGTGCATGAGTGTTTGCGCAATTCTGAGTAAGTACACTCCCTTTTCCTTCACCGTCGAGCACGTGGTAAATCAGCACTTAAAATTGCAATTAACAATTTCATTGGTGCCGGCGGGGATCGAACCCGGTTTGCTCGCATACTGTGAAATTTACAGCGAGTGCTAACCATGTCAGAGAAATAAGAAAAAATATATTTCGAAGACATGTGAAGTTCGCCAACACGCATTAGGGCAGCGCGGCAAACAATTCCTTAACCCGAAACCCTCTCAGAAATGAGCGGAGGCCTGTGCCCAGCAGAGGGACCTATATAGGCTGTAACTTTACTTCACTAACTTTTTCCCTTTTCCAATACTCCCATAGTCCAATAAGACGGCAATCGGGCACGATAGAAAAGTGGTGAGGATCAACCTCTACACGTATTTTCTGAGGTACGGGCTAGATACACCACCAAATTCCTGATTCAGGAATGCTACTGAGAATTTCTCAACAGAAAAACCAAATATTTGTATATTGCCCGACCAGGGACCTCGTGATCAGAAGTCGCCATAAGCGCGACGAGGCAGTCATTACTAGGTAGAATGACGACCTGGTAACACATTTTTTTATAGGATTGTAAAGTTGCAGGCAGGCAGGCATGAAATACTGTCCCGCTCTGCTGAGCACGCCAAGCTTTTTTAGAGGCCAATTTGGCCTTCCCTTCCAAGTGACCACGAAACTGCACGTCACTCGATATGTCGACGCCGAGGATTCCGATACTGGCTGAGGCAACAAGGGGAGTGCCTTGAAACTGAGGGGATACGACAAAGGGGTTCTTTTTAGCGGTTAACGTGCAAACTTGTGTCTTCTGGGGGTTAAACTGGACTAGATTTAGTCTCCCCCAATCCCCGACTCTGTCCAGCAGAGACTCACTTCAGACACAAGTTTGTCCCGGCACTCGGAGACGTTTTCCCGAGAAATATTGGCTCGGCCGGTGTAAAGAGCATCACCAGTGCTGTCATCTGCATAGCAATGAATGTTACGGGTATGCAACATGTCATTGATATGCAGAAGAAACAGCGTTGGCGATAGCACACAGCCCTGTGGAACACCAGCATTAATAGGCTTACAATCGGAGCTTGCACCGTCTACAACGACCTTGATGCTCCGATCTGCAAGAAAGCTGGTGATCCAATCGCACAATTTCTCGGGAAGCCCATAGGAAGGGAGCTTCGAAAGAAGCGCTTTGTGCCAAACCCGATCGAAGGCCTTCGCAATGTCCAAACTAACGGCCAATGCCTCCCCCTTGAACTCTACTGCCTCCGCCCATCTGTGAGTTAGGTAGACCAGAAGATCACGAGCTGACCGACCACGGCGAAAACCGTATTGGCGGTCACTAATCAGCTGGTGATCTTCAAGGTACCTCATGAGCTGGCAGTTTACAATGGACTCCATTGTTTTGGAGAACAAGGAGGTGATGGCGATTGGCCGGTAGTTGGACGGGTCAGAGCGGTCGCCTTTTTTAGGGATCGGGTGGACGTAAGCCGTCTTCCATGATTTTGGGACTACGCCTAGGGAGTAGGAGTACCGGAAAAGACGCGTTAAAACCGGTGCCAACTCTGGAGCACACGTCTTCAGCACAATTGGGGGATTCCGTCAGGCCCACTCGACTTGTGGATGTCCAGGGAGAGGAGTGCTTTGCGAACCGAGCGCTGTGTGAAGTGCACTTCCGGCATGGAGCACTCACACCGCGGGATGGTCGGCGGAGTACTCCCCCCGTCATCGAGAGTCGAGTTAGACGCAAAGAAAGAGCCTAGAAGATCGGCTTTCTCCTTTGCGGTATGGGCCAGTGAGTCGTCCTCCCTGTGCAGAGATGGAAGAGATGGCTGACAGAAATTCCCCTGGACAGCCTTGGCGAGAGACCAGAATGCACGGGTTCCAGAAGGAAGGCGAACTAGTTTCTCGCCAATTGATGAACTGATGGTAAATGGTTACTATTGCCCATAGACATCTTAATCTATCCTCATATCCTTTCCTTTGCTAAATTCCTTTTCCTTCAGAATACCTTCTCGGCTTCCGAGAAAGCCTATTCAGCCTATGAACCCACCATTGCGTAGGACTAAACTTGGTCATTTCTCTCCTGTTCTTAGATTGAGTAGACTTTACAATGAATGCGGCACATTGGTAGATCTTAATTTTGATTCTTCTGAACATTTCCGTAAGCAGATCAGGGACTTTGTCACAAAAAAATATCTTCTGTAACTTAAAATAGGTTTAATGATTTTTCTTTCACATAGAGGTAACGTACTCGTATTATTATTAAACGCACGATGTGTTCCCCTGTAAGTAGTTATGCACTTAGCAGACATGTTGGAACTTGTATTATTTTATTCAAATGTATTGTGTTATAACTGTTGGAGAACCTAATAAATAAATAAAAAAAATACGAATCAAAATGCACATGCACATGAGGACCAAGATGGGATGCCTCGTTTCCAGCAAAAAGAGTCTCCGGTTCCCCACACTCACAATACAAGCATATACAAAACACAGCATCATTAAGGTTATACGCTTACGCTGGTATTCTGTGAGAGCGTGGTCCTTCCCCGGTCGAGCCGACCCATTCGTTCTACAACTATACTACTAATACAGCTGCAGCATGGCTCTACCACGTAAAATACATGCAGGAATTCGATAGATGCAGGAGGCTCAGAACAGTTTTTCATGGCACGCCGTGGGGGCTAGATCTATTTTCAGCAGTGATCATGTGAATGCCAATGATTCACTAACTAGCAGTATATAATAAATAAAACTTACATTTCATATTTGTTCATTCATTTCGGCTATATTTATACTCATTGCTATATCCTACCATAATACTTAAGCTAGTCATTGAATTTTAGCAAATAATAAAAGATACCTCATCTGATTTGTCATAATTGCGCGGGTAACCTGAACGATAAAACATAAGATTATATTATGACGTCAGCATAAAATAAATGTGACGCACATGAAATGTCAAAATCTTGTGACCTAAAAAAATTATAACGAGCAGATTTATTGTGTATGGTATTACATAAAAAGCATCAATTATCATATTTATAATACAGATAAATTGTTGATAATATTTTATTTACATAAAATATCGTTGAAATATACAATTAAAAATAAACCAAAATTAGTAACTTAACTACCATACAATTCTAATCCCCGTGGTATTGTGCCAAGAACGCTGGTGCGTTTCCTCGCTGATTTTTTTTTATAGGAGAGGTGGCAAACGAGCATGCGGCTCAACTGATGATAAGTGACTACCGCTGCCCACGAACAACCGCAACACCAGGGGAATTGCTGATGCGAATTGAATAGCTATACTCATTCTTTCAGCGAGAAAAGAACCAGCCCTCTTAGGTTAGCATGATGTTAAGTGACTACCGCCGCCCATGAACAACCGCAACACCAGGGGAACTGCAGGTGCGTTGCTGGCCTTTTAGAAATGAGTAAGCTATTTTCTTGAAGGTACCTAGGTTGTATCGGTCCGGAAAAATCGCCGGTGGTAAACTATTCCACAGAGAGGGCGTACGCGGAAGAAAACTCCTAGTGAAACGTACATTGGTAAGCTGCCAAGCATCCAGTTTGTGTGGATGGTATCGGGAGGTTTGCCACGTACTGCTTTCATGAATCTTGGCGGCTGGGATTAATCCGAACAGTTACTCAGAGAGATGCAACATCTCTTCGCAGCGCCTGCGAATCGAGCCGATCGGAAAGCACTCGGTCGTCGAGGATTTACATTACATATTATATATTATTATTATCAACGCAGTTCATTTCTTTGTTCAAACCATAACATGCTAGTTGTAACGTTTCATTGCTTCTCATACAGAAATTTTTGTCTAAAGCTGATTAAAGAAGATAATTTACGCAGAATTTTATCTATTCTCAAAAGTATTGCTTTGTTCTTATTGACGTAATGTCTCTTTAACGCAGTTTACATGTTGTTAGTATTTATGTAGGAAAATTCTTACAAAGTGAAGCCCATAAGGTCCAATGGACAGTAAATATTAATGTTATTACATTAGAAAATTATCTCCAATTAGGTAGAAATCCGCCGGCACAATCTAGTCTATACCATTACGTAACTCCCACGTACCCAAAGAATTGATTTTTGTTCACAACTAAACGTTCAAATACGCATGCGTCAAAAACTTCACCCATACACCCTCAAAATCCATGTTCACACATGCGTAGTAAAGATAAAACTCGACAAGGAAATTTGAGTCTTACCATCGAAATCCCTAAGTCTATTTTTGAGCTACATATTATTATTGTATTTTTAGACCATTCGCACCTATTATGGAAAATACTGACGCGCCCTCTTCTATAAACCTTGGGAAACTTATTCGCGGAAGGTTTTCTCTTCTCTCAATACTAGCCGGAAATTTTTACAATTTAGGTTACCGGCGTTTCCTTGGTAAATTTTGTATCTTTTATTGAAAATAGTGAACACTGAACATTAAATGATATAAAGGCAGTCTCTTGCCTGAAAAAGACAAGACAGGACTAAAAATAGATCACCGTCCGACATACTTGTTGGAAAATCGAATGAGAGCTTTCCATTCATAAAATACATTCATTTGGTGTTCAGCTGTGGTGGTGCATAGGTCGGGAGAGACGATATTATAAAGTTTCCAGTGAATGAACTGCTCCTTTAAGAATTAGAGACATTTGTGAACATTGATCGATAAAAGCTTCGCTTGTATTTCCTACGACACACAGCGCAACAAGACTATCGGAAAAAATGTAAGTAATTTTTATCTATCTCGCTTAATGTTTTCTAATCGTGCAAATAAATAATAATAAATATATACCAAGACAACACACAGGTACACAAGTACTGTGTCGGTACATATGTATAGATAAAGTCGGTAATATTCAGCAGTTTTGGTAAGGCTACATCTTTTCCCACGCAGCCTGTCCAGTACCAAACGCTTATCTTTTCCTGTCGACAACAGTAGGGAACCTACTATTGTTTTTCGGTTTATAGTGTAGGAAAACTGGTATAATAACAGGCTATGAAGCAATAATTTTTCCCATAACATTTCAAACATACATAGGCAGCAACTGTTTTAATGTACACAAAACAATGAACCCAGAGTTTCCTGCCGGTTCTTCTTTGTCCTCTAAAATTAAAATCGATGGTAGCTTTTATATTATCAAGCCTAAACTATATCTCCAATTGAATTTAAACTCTAATAAAAAAAAGTTCTTTAATCTAAATAGAGAGAAAATACATTTTATATGCAGACTGTTTTCAAAATCTTCTTCGACTTCGATGAAGATGTCCGTTTCGTATGGTAAACAACCGGAGAAAGTTTTTACCATTGTAGCGTGCTATATTTTTTAACTTTTCTACATCATCATCATCACCACCATAGCATCATTACAGCCCTTTACAAATAATTTGCCCTTAAAAAGTCCACTGTTGAACATAGGCCTCCCCCAAGTAATGCCACAAAGCACGGTCCTGAGCCACATGCATCCATCGACTTCCTGTATCGTCACTTCACTACTAGCTGACATTTTACTTTCCTTAACCAAAAAGGTACAGGTGTCTGCGCCGCAGCTTCTACTTAATATCAGCTGTCTGTTCATTTAAATAAAGTCCAAGAGCTAAGCAGTATTTAAAAAATCTCATAAATATTTTATATTTAAATCTTATTTATAGTTATATGACAATCTTAAGGTTGACTGAAGTCTTAGTAAGGCGCAAGTTACTATTGATTTTACGAAAGGGTCACCGTGCTGACTGCATGTACAATTCAACACGTAAACATAGCTTAAGAAATATTGTATCGTAATGAAAAACCAGTTTACTTTTTCTTGTATATTATATCGTCATCATTATCATCACCATTATAGTCAGTCCACTACTGAACATAGTTCTCTCCCAAGTAATGCCACAAAGCACTGGCCTAAGCCACCTGCATCAGTTATTGTCAGTTATTGTATATTATATAAAATGATAATAAAAAGGAATAGTATCAAAATAGTTAAAATGGACGTCATCTTATAGGCTTCATATAGCCATTTATAACATTTTGTACCCGATAAAATTTCGCTACAAATGGAGTATAGTTAAGAAAACTATGATAATAAGACGTGATGCACTAATAGCACGTAAATGGACGTCTCATTACGAACTTCATTAAATATTCGGGAGTGAGGGGTAGAAGCTTACGGTTCCTGTGACCTTTAATATCTGTTCTTTAGAAAAAAAATGGTACAATTTAAATCTGACACCCGTTTATTTTTAAATCTTCACACTTACTACTCTTTGAGGCAAGATACACGTAGTGTTCTAAGAGGATAGATTATAAACGTAAGGAACTAAAAAGGATTGGATATAAAGAACACACTAGAACGTAATAATTATACACTTTTTAGCCAAATTTCCTCACGCTCGTCTCTACAGAATGTCTTTTATTTATTTTTATGTACGTATTAATTGTTACACAAAATTTTTATAAATCTAATAATTGATAAAATAAAAACAGAAGGTAGTTCTTTATAGACTGATCAATCGCCATAATTTTCATAATACGCTAGTAACCGAAGTTCAATCTATCGGTACTACACCATTTATGTACTAAATACTAACATAAAGAACTAATTTTATGTCAAAGTAAAACTTATCCAATCCTTGATAATAAAGGTTTGGGTAAGGCCTAATTAAAATAGATTATATAATTTATTATTTACACATTTATTTATCACTAGTACATTTCTATCTACTGAAACATTAAACTTTGATTGAACTCTAAGTCTATTACCACACTAATCGATCGATAGTGGAATTGATTAATCGACTTCGATCGATAGTTTTTACCACACCAATCGATGGATGGCATTGATCGATAGAAGAATGGATTAGTCGACGTCGATCGATCGTTTCTACTACACTCGATCGAGCTGCTGGATTATTAGAGAACACGCCCCGCTCCACCGATCACATTTTAAAATTTACTGATGATGAGCCCATAATCGACGATGATCGATGATTGAACAACGTTTTATCGACCATTATCCGTCGATCAGCTAAAGTCTCCACACCAATCGATCGACATCGATCAGTGGCATCGATCGACGATCGATCGATTGGTGTGATAACCCACTAACACATCGCTTTCATATTAATTTCTTACATACTAATAACGAGTATTTTTTTTAATTATGAAATACTATAAAAATTATATTTATTATTATAATTTGTAATATAAATCGCAATTTAGTTAATAAAACATGACGTTATTGTCAAAATCAATATAATACATGCATATATGATACTTCACATTGAACAGAATAAAAATAACATCGTTAACTATGACGTCAAGACGTCATTCCTCCAGGGATCATGAGTGCTGTAAAGTGTCTATCCTTTATATTCAATGCGTTTTTATATGACTATAACTAAACATAGGTATAGTTAAAATATAACTGTTTACATTCAAAATTAGTACAATAAATAAAATGTTACTAAATGATCTCAGACTAGTTATCCTAACTTTACAAACGAAACTCAAACTCAACTTTGTCACGTTTCACTAATAACGTTTCTCTCCCGCATCGCGTTGAAAGTTTCAACAAATCTAATCTTTTCCGATCCTGAATACTCAATGAACACCTTAATTTAAATTTGATTGCCAGGAACTAAATGAAATTTGGTATTACGTTAGAGATTACTGATGTTGATGGGTTGATGGTTTTGTTTTGTTGTGATTTGTAAGGTTCCAAAATTAACTAATTTATTTTCCTATGACTCAATTACCTGTATAACTAACTAGAACTATTTATAATGGTTGGTTGCGTTGTTTCAAATTGTAAAAATTCATCTGGAAAAATATCAAATCATAAAAATGGGATTACATTTCATAGGTTTCCTAGGGATACAAATAGAAAACATCAATGGGAGATTGCAGTAAATAGAGAGGAAGGATGGTGTTCAACATCATCAAGTGCAGTATGCTCTGAACATTTTGTCACCAATGACTTTTACTTGACAATGAAACCTACTGCTGTATTATATTTATAATCACTGATTATCACTTAAATAGAACAAGTATTTATTATTTCCTTATTTGTCCTTTTCTATTGTTATTAAGTGAAGAAAACGGGAGCAACTTTAAGTATTTCTCAATTTGGCGTCAAGTTTTATCAGTAAGGCCGTTAATCATCGTCATTATCATTATATAATACTAGAGATCCGCCTGGGCTTTGTACAAGTGATTTCCGGATCTCGACAACAGCGCCACCTACCGGGTCTAAATGTGAATATAAACCATCTAAGTACCGATTCAGACATACGTACATATATAAAAAAATCATCAAAATCTGTCGTGCCGTTTTTGAGTTTTAGCGAGACTAACCGAGAGCAATAATTGATTTTTATACATAGAGATAATAATTTAGTATTTTGGCTGTTATAATAAAATAACTAGGTAGGTACATTCAAGCAAACTTAATAATCTCACTATATCTCACTCATCTTTTCCGAATAAATAATCTCTAACGTCCTAGCAACAGAGTGCTAAAAATAGCAAAAATAAAAGCCATATCGGAAATATAATGCGAGATATATTATAGACTCTGCTATATGCCAATTCCAATGCCATAAGGCATTAAGTCCGCCCGTTATATCCCTTAGTATATAAGGTGTAAGTAAGATTAAATAAATAAATAAAACTCTGTCATTTTACTAGTAACGGGGTGTTCTATTTGTGAAGTGACGATATATATATATATATATATATATATATATATATATATATCGATTAAAAAAACTTGATAGAAACTCGGCTATAACCTAGGCTATCGTCGCAATAACTGATGTTTCGTTTTAAGCCGAATTCTGTATATTATTCGGTTTCGTAATTAATACCAAATGATAACAATTAAATAATAATATAATATGTTACGTATTCATTACATTTATTATATTCCCTTTATATTTAATTGATTCATTAAAATGGAGACTTCTTCTACTTACTCTCTGTGCCAGTTCTGGAGTATAAATTTAATTGGCAAACTGCCCTGAAATATTTTAATGCCCAAACGAAGACAACAAGCGCTGCTCAACAGCTGCTCTAGTGTTTATCATTCTTAAGATATCATTTTTAAGATATATATGACATTTTCCATAAGAAAACCTGACATATTTAAGGTTAATAAATTATATTTACGACTTATACCTAGCCTTTTTAAAGATAAAATTTAATTTAATTGTCTGCAAACAGAAAATTTCGGATGCTTTCTTGGTTGACGCAGTACCCAGAGAGCCAGTACCTGTATTAGAATTGATCTCTTGCTCCCAAATTAGATAGAATGGAATATAGAGATAGGAATAGTTTTAAGAGATTTAACATTATTGAAATAAATTATAGCCACAAACCGTCTAGTTAAAAGCTAACCATGTCATTAATGTCATTAAAATTCAAAACACCATATCGTTCATTATTAAATCAAATCAATAAATACAGACAATAAATCATAATGTCATACTCATAATATAAATATGACAAAATACATGTTAGCTTACAACATACATAACAAAATATTTCAAATGTTAATTAATTCAGAATGTATCTAAGCTTGTAGCTGAAATAACAGTCTAAAGATCAAAATAAACATCTTTCAGCCAATAATTCCAATAATAATAATAATGTTCTCCAGACCGAATTTCGGCCACAGCGGCCTGCCTCAACGGAGGCTAGCCATCGGCGCAGGACAGGATTATAGTGCCCAAG